CACCACCTCTCTCTCTCTCTCGTAGCCCGTCGCCTCTCGGCCTTCGCCTCCACCACCCACTACCACGTGATAATGATCGTCGTTTCGATGATATTTGATTAATGTCATCTCGATGATATTTGATTAACGTTGTTTCGATTATATTGATTAATGTCATCTCGATGATATTTGATTAATGTCATCTCGATGATATTTGATTAACGTTATTTCGATTATATTGATTAATGTCATCTCGATGATATTTGATTAATGTCATCTCGATGATATTTGATTAACATCGTTTCGATGACACTTGATTAATGTCATCTCGATGATATTTGATTAACGTCGTTTCGATTATATTTGATTAACATCGTTTCGATTATATTGATTAACGTCGTTTTTCGATATTTGATCGACGTCGTTTCGATATCCGTCATTGCACCTTTCAGGAACGCATCCCACCCTCCCGCGACGTAGAATCAGGATCACAATCTTGACTGGCAGCCACCCGAGCTGTGTTTGGTTGCAAAGTGACAGCGACGGTGCGCACGGTCCGGTCAAGCCGTGCGCCCGACTGGGCCGGTGCTGGGCACGGTGACATTTTAATCATCAGCATCAGAGTCAGAATTATTAAAGGAGCAGTAATCCGATGAGCTATAAAGCTCTTTGATTCACGGGTATCCAGTATGGGGCACGGGCGTCAGCAAGTTACAACAACAAAACAATACAAACAAAACTGATAGTACAGGCACTCCTCTACTTACGAACGGGTTGGGTTCCAGAGGTCTGTTCGTAAGTCGATTTGTTCATAAGTCCAACTTTACTCCCGTCGATTCCAAACATGTTGTACGGCGTGTACACTAAACGCAGGGAATGGCTTTCCAAGTTGTACAATCTCCTGTGGATGTAGATCCCACTGGTTCTTCATGTTCTGTAGATGCCACTGGTTCTTCACGTTCTGCAGATGTAGATGCCACTGGTTCTTCACGTTCTGCAGATGTAGATGCCACTGGTTCTTCACGTTCTGCAGATGTAGATGCCACTGGTTCTTCACGTTCTGCAGATGTAGATGCCACTGGTTCTTCACGTTCTGCAGATGTAGATGCCACTGGTTCTTCACGTTCTGCAGATGTAGATGCCACTGGTTCTTCACGTTCTGCAGATGTAGATGCCACTGGTTCTTCATGTTCTGCAGATGTAGATGCCACTGGTTCTTCACGTTCTGCAGATGTAGATGCCACTGGTTCTTCACGTTCTGCAGATGTAGATGCCACTGGTTCTTCACGTTCTGCAGATGTAGATGCCACTGGTTCTTTACGTTCTGCAGATGTAGATGCCATTGGTTCTTCACGTTCTGCAGATGTAGATGCCACTGGTTCTTCACGTTCTGCAGATGTAGATGCCATTGGTTCTTCACGTTCTGCAGATGTAGATGCCACTGGTTCTTCACGTTCTGCAGATGTAGATGCGACTGGTTCTTCACGTTCTGCAGATGTAGATGCCACTGGTTCTTTACGTTCTGCAGATGTAGATGCCATTGGTTCTTCACGTTCTGCAGATGTAGATGCCACTGGTTCTTCACGTTCTGCAGATGTAAATGCCATTGGTTCTTCACGTTCTGCAGATGTAGATGCCACTGGTTCTTCACGTTCTGCAGATGTAGACGCCACTGGTTCTTTGCGTTCTGCAGATATAGATGCCACTGGTTCTTCGCGTTCTGCAGATGTAGACGCCACTGGTTTTTCGCGTTTTGCAGGTGTAGATGCCACTGGTTCTTCACGTTCTGCAGATGTAGATGCCACTAGTTCTTCGCGTTCTGCAGATGTAGATGCCACTGGTTCTTCACGTTCTACAGATGTAGATGCCACTGGTTCTTCACGTTCTGCAGATGTATATGCCACTGGTTCTTCACGTTCTGCATATGTAGATGCCACTGGTTCTTCACGTTCTGCAGATGTAGATGACACTAGTTCTTCACGTTCTGCAGATGTAGATGCCACTGGTTCTTCGCGTTCTGCATATGTAGATGCCACTAGTTCTTCGCGTTCTGCAGATGTAGATGCCACTGGTTCTTCGCGTTCTGCATATGTAGACGCCACTGGTTCTTTACGTTCTGCAGATGTATATGCCACTGGTTCTTCACGTTCGGCATATGTAGATGCCACTGGTTCTTCGCGTTCTGCATATGTAGACGCCACTGGTTTTTTGCGTTCTGCAGATGTAGATGCCAATGGTTCTTCACGTTCGGCAGATGTAGACGCCACTGGTTCTTCGCGTTCTGCATATGTAGATGCCATTGGTTCTTCACGTTCTGCAGATGTAGATGCCACTGGTTCTTCACGTTCTGCAGATGTAGATGCCACTGGTTCTTCACGTTCTGCAGATGTAGATGCCACTGGTTCTTCACGTTCTGCAGATGCCACTGGTTCTTCACGTTCTGCAGATGTAGATGCCATTGGTTCTTTGCGTTCTGCAGATATAGATGCCACTGGTTCTTCGCGTTCTGCAGATGTAGACGCCACTGGTTTTTCGCGTTTTGCAGGTGTAGATGCCACTGGTTCTTCACGTTCTGCAGATGTAGATGCCACTAGTTCTTCGCGTTCTGCAGATGTAGATGCCATTGGTTCTTCACGTTCTGTAGATGTAGATGCCACTGGTTCTTCATATTCTGCAGATGTAGATGCCACTGGTTCTTAACGTTCTGCAGATGTAGATGCCACTGGTTCTTCACGTTCTGCAGATGTAGATGCCACTGGTTCTTCACGTTCTGCAGATGTAGATGCCACTAGTTCTTCGCGTTCTGCAGATGTAGATGCCACTGGTTCTTCACGTTCTACATATGTAGATGCCACTGGTTCTTCACGTTCTGCAGATGTAGACGCCACTGGTTCTTCACGTTCTGCATATGTAGACGCCACTGGTTCTTCACGTTCTGCAGATGTAGATGCCACTGGTTCTTCACGTTCTGCAGATGTAGATGCCACTGGTTCTTCACGTTCTGCAGATGTAGATGCCACTGGTTCTTCACGTTCTGCATATGTAGACGCCACTGGTTCTTCACGTTCTGCAGATGTATATGCCACTAGTTCTTCGCGTTCTGCAGATGTAGATGCCACTGGTTCTTCACGTTCTGCAGATGTAGATGCCACTGGTTCTTCACGTTCGGCAGATGTAGATGCCACTGGTTCTTCACGTTCTGCAGATGCCACTGGTTCTTCACGTTCTGCAGATGTAGATGCCACTAGTTCTTCACGTTCTGCAGATGTAGATGCCACTGGTTCTTCGCGTTCTGCATATGTAGATGCCACTGGTTCTTCGCGTTCTGCAGATGTAGATGCCACTGGTTCTTCGCGTTCTGCATATGTAGACGCCACTGGTTCTTCACGTTCTGCAGATGTATATGCCACTGGTTCTTCACGTTCGGCAGATGTAGACGCCATTGGTTCTTTGCGTTCTGCAGATGTAGATGCCAATGGTTCTTCACGTTCGGCAGATGTAGACGCCACTGGTTCTTCGCGTTCTGCATATGTAGATGCCATTGGTTCTTCACGTTCTGCAGATGTAGATGCCACTGGTTCTTCACGTTCTGCAGATGTAGATGCCACTGGTTCTTCACGTTCTGCAGATGTAGATGCCACTGGTTCTTCACGTTCTACAGATGTAGATGTCACTAGTTCTTCACGTTCGGCAGATGTATACGCCACTAGTTCTTCGCGTTCTGCAGATGTAGATACCACTGGTTCTTCACGTTCTGCAGATGTAGATGCCATTGGTTCTTCACGTTCTGTAGATGTAGATGCCACTGGTTCTTCATATTCTGCAGATGTAGATGCCATTGGTTCTTCACGTTCTGTAGATGTAGATGCCACTGGTTCTTCATGTTCTGCAGATGTAGATGCCACTGGTTCTTCACGTTCTGTAGATGTAGATGCCACTGGTTCTTCATGTTCTGCAGATGTAGATGCCACTGGTTCTTCACGTTCTGTAGATGTAGATGCCACTGGTTCTTCATGTTCTGCAGATGTAGATGCCACTGGTTCTTCACGTTCTGTAGATGTAGATGCCACTGGTTCTTCATGTTCTGCAGATGTAGATGCCACTGGTTCTTCGCGTTCTGCAGATGTAGACGCCACTGGTTCTTCACGTTCTGTAGCTGTAGATGCCACTGGTTCTTCACGTTCTGTAGATGTAGATGCCACTGGTTCTTCACGTTCTGTAGATGTAGATGCCACTGGTTCTTCACGTTCTGTAGATGTAGATGGCACTGGTTCTTCACGTTCTGTAGATGTAGATGCCACTGGTTCTTCGCGTTCTGCAGATGTAGACGCCACTGGTTCTTCACGTTCTGTAGCTGTAGATGCCACTGGTTCTTCACGTTCTGTAGATGTAGATGCCACTGGTTCTTCACGTTCTGTACATGTAGATGCCACTGGTTCTTCACGTTCTGTAGATGTAGATGCCACTGGTTCTTCATATTCTGCAGATGTAAAAAAAACGTCTATTTTATTAAGTAGAACGTGTTGTCTATATTTATTTAAAGTTGCGCATTTTGATGTGACGTCACATTTCTCAAACCTCCCCCCCCCTCCTCGTCACACATCGTCACAAATGTCAGAGACAACACGTTCTGCTTAATTAAATAGACTTGTTAATAAATGTTTTCTCCTACAACATCAGAGTGCAGCGCCACATTAAACACGCACTACAATGACAACAGTTTAAAGCGATTTGAAGCATGTTTTATTTTTTTTTGAGGGGGGAGATGGGGCAGAGCTTTGTGACGTCATATTTGAGGCGGGGGGGGGTCTGACTTTTTGTGACGCCGTGTGACGAAGGGGGGGGGGTCAAAAATTTACAAAATCGCGTGACGTCATTTATGGACAGCCCCTTGCTTGCTGGAGGTGTTGCCCCCCCCCCCCCCCCACCTGAAAATCCTGGCTCCGCCATTGCTCGGTGGTGCCACGTGGTCGTGTGGGTGACCCCCTCCCCCTCTGCCCCTCCCCCCCCCCTCTCACCAGTGAGCGACCCCCCCGTGACGTCACTGTCGGGGGTGGGGGTGGAGGGCCCCCTGTACCCGGGGGTCTCGGCCTTCCTGGGGGAGCCCGCCTGGGGCCTGGCCCCCCACCCCCACTCCTCCTCCTACAGCTGCGGCGCCCCCTCGTGGACAGCGCTCGCCAGCCCGCACCCACTCACACAGCTGCACGGAGCGCTGCAGGTACGGGGGGTGGGGGGTGGTGGGGTGGGTGGGGGGGGTGGGGGTGGGGGGGTTAGGGGCGGTGGGGCTAAGGTGAGGGGGGGTGGGGGGTTAGGGGGGGTGGGGGTGGGTGGGGGTAGGGTGCAGGTTTGGGGTGGTAGGGGACGGGATAGGAGATTACAGGTGGTGGGTGGGGGGGGGTTAGGGGTAGTGGGTGGGGCGGTTAGGTATGGTGGTGCGGGGTAGGGTGGGGGGGGTTAGGGGTGGTAGGGGGCGTGGTGGGGGGTTAGGGGTGGTGGGGGGCGTGGTGGGGGGGTTAGGGGTGATGGGGGGTAGGGTGGGGGGGGTGGTAGGGTTGGGGGTTGTGGGGGGCAGCGTGGGTGGGGGGTGGTAGGGTGGGGGTAGGGTGAGGGGAGTGGTAGGGTAGGGTAGGGTGGGGGGGGTTGGGGGGTTGTGGGGGGCAGCGTGGGGGGGGGGTGGTAGGGTGGGGGTAGGGTGGGGGGGTTGTGGTGGTGGGGGGGGGTAAGAGGAAGTGGGCAGCAGGCTGGAGGAGCTGGCGGCAGCGTGAGGGCAATCCGGGCCACCCTCCCCACCGTCGCCCCGAGGTCTGACGCCGCCTGCGACGAGAAGCCATCTCCTTGAGAGCTTCATCTCCTGTGTGTCCAGTGTTGGTGTTGGTGTTGTTGTTGTCCTTCCCCCGCGCCTCCGGTTAACACGGTTTGGCTGCTACGTACGGTGCGAAAGAGGTTCAACGTACGTACCGACACCGGGACGTGATCACCCAGAAGCCACGGGGACCCCTCTCCGTCACACAAATCCCAAGCGACTGAAGCCTAAACCCATAGCCCCCCCGCCCCTATACAGCTAACCCCAATCCCTGCATCTTTGGGGATTGCTCGATGCACCGAGCCCCGCGGTCCATGGCAGTGAATGTTAACGGGCTCCAACGATCCATCACCACCACTACCATCATCACTACCACCACCACCACTACCACCATCATCTCTACCACCATCATCACTACCACCACTACCACCATCATCACTACCACCATCACTACCACCACCATCACCACTACCAACACCACGACCACCACCACTACCACCATCACTACCACCACCACTACCACCACCACTACCACCATCATCACTACCACCACCACCACTACCACCGCTACCACCACCACTACCACCCACTACCACCATCATCACTACCACCACCACTACCACCATCATCACTACCACCACCACTACCACCACCACTACCACCACCACTACCACCACCACTACCACCATCATCACTACCACCACCACTACCACCATCATCACTACCACCACCACTACCAACCACACAACCTCAATGATCACTACCACCACCACTACCATCATCATTACCACCACCACTACCACCATCATCACTACCACCACCATCATCACCACTACCACCACCACTACCACCATCATCACTACCACCACCACTACCACCACCACCACTACCACCACCACTACCACCATCATCACTACCACTACCACCACCACTACCACCATCATCACTACCACCACCACCACTACCACCGCTACCACCACCACTACCACCACCACTACCTCAATGATCACTACCACCACCACTACCACCACCACTACCACCATCATCACTACCACCACCACTACCACCACCACTACCACCATCATCACTACCACCACCACTACCATCATCATTACCAACCACTACCACCATCATCACTACCACCACCATCATCACCACTACCACCACCACTACCACCACCACCACTACCACCACCACTACCACCATCATCACTACCACCACCACTACCACCACCACTACCACCATCACCACTACCACCATCATCACTACCACCACCACTAATACCACCACCACTAATACCACCCCACTACCACCATCATCACTACCACTACCACCACCACTACCACCACCACTACCACCATCATCACTACCACTACCACCACCACTACCACCACCACTACCACCATCACCACTACCACCATCATCACTACCACCACCACTAATACCACCACCACTACCACCATCATCACTACCACTACCACCACCACTACCCACCACTCATCACTACCACTACCACCACCACTACCACCACCACTACCACCACCACTACCATCATCACCACTACCACCTACCACCACCACTACCACCATCATCACCACTACCACCGCTACCACCACCACTACCACCATCCACTACCACCACCACTACCACCACCACCACTACCACCATCATCACTACCACCACCACTAATACCACCACCACTACCACCACCACTACCACCACTACCACCACCACTACCACCACCACTACCACCATGAGATTATGTGAAGGAATGACACAAATTCGCCCGTTTTCTCATTGAAAATAGGGACGTTTAAACATTTTACGGTCCTGGTCACAAAAGCAAAGTTTGTGGGGAATAGTAGCCATTTTCTGTACCTTTTGAGGCATAAGCAATTAGGAAAATAACACTTACTACCCAGGAACAAAAAAATAAAAACATTTTGTTACACAGTGAGAAAATCGAGGCGTTTTTGTCAATGTGTTAGATCGCTTAAATGTGTCGTGAAAGCCGCCACCACCCGACCACGCAAGCCAATTGGTGACGGTTTGCCACGTGACCAACACGTGGCAAATTCTAGATTTGAAGCTTTCGTGACTGCAAGGATTCATATTCTTAGGTTTTTTCGGTAAAGTCACGTAGGTAAGAAATTTAAATTAATAAAAAAAAACACGCACCTTTAAATCATCCGCACCTAGTTTACACAACAAATGCTCATTCCCAACAGCATGCTTCAGCCGCACCGAACCTCACAAAAATAATATTCAGGGCCTACCTTGGCTCCTCCCACCCTCAACCAGTATATATACAAATACTGTTTTCTTGGAATTTCTCTCACTTGATACAGCTATCGTGCTGTGACGGTTCCACCTGAAGACGGAGGCTTGTGTTGCCTCCGAAACGTCGTGATTTTAATTTTATTTTACTTTTATTAATTTTAATTGTTTACCTGCGTGACTTTACCGAAAAAACCTAAGAATACGTGGCAAATTGTTACGAGTTGTAGAGTTAAACCCACCACGACGTTTACAACTCGTAGCACCGTGACGCTTCGTCACGGTCCCACCTGATGACGGAGACTTGTGTTGCCTCCGAAACGTCGTGATTTTTTGTTTTATTTTATTTTATTTTCATTAATTTTGATGTTTTACCTACGTGACTTTACCGAAAAAACCTAAGAATATAAATCTCTGGTCGTGTCGGGTGGTGGCGGGTTTAACGACACATTTATAATTTTCGAGTTAAAGCTTTCGTAACTGCAGGGATTCATCTTCTTGGTTCTTTCGGTAAAGTCACGTAGAAGGGAAATAATAAAAATATATATTTATAATAATAATACAAATATTTATAATACTTTTGTTATTATTTTATAATAATAAAAAATATTATTTTATAATTATTTTTTATTATTTCCCTTCTACGCTAATTTGTTAAAGATTAATTATATTATTGGTTCTTTCGGTAAAGTCACGTAGAAGGGAAATAATAGCATTTTTATTATTTTATTCTTATATTTTATAATAATTTTTTATTAATTTATAATATTTTTCTTTTATAATAACATTTTATTATTTTATAATATTTCATTATTATTTTATAATACAAAATTGTATTATTTCCCTTCTATGTGACTTTACCGAAAGAACAAAGAATATTAAATTTCGATTTAAAGCTTTCGTGACTGCAGGGATTCATCTTCTTGGTTCTTTCGGTAAAGTCACGTAGAAGGGAAGTAATAAAATAAAATAAATAAAACATAATAAAATAATTCTCACGACGTTTCGGCCACAACGCAAGCAGCCATCCTCAGGTCGGCTGCTTGCGTTGTGGCCGAAACGCCGTGAGAATTATTTTATTATGTTTAATTTATTTTATTTTATTACTTCCCTTCTACGTGACTTTACCGAAAGAACCAAGAAGATGGACGCGTTTATATTGACGCGATCTAACCCCTCTTAACCAGAAAGACCCTCTGCTACGGACAATGTTGGTCACGAAAGCCCCAAATACGACGTCTGACTAACAGATTGAGCTCCAGCCGCGGAGTTCCGCGTCGTTCACGCGAAAGGCCGCGTCGGTGACCAGCGTGCGATGTGCATCTTGACACGGGGAGTGATTTATTAAATCCTTTATATTAAGTTCACTTGCGTGCTTAGGACCGTGCAAATCTTTAGGTCGTTTTTTAACCCACTTCCCGTGATCCAATCGAGCTGACATTTTGCACACAGACTCGTTGTGCGTGACAATTAATTTTCGTGAAAATTTTTTTCCAAAATTTTACACTGTTTAGGGAAATTTTTTTTAAACATTTAATTACCAATTGTTTAATGTTGCCAGAGGACGAGGGGACTCTAGCCGCCGCGATGCCACGCATTTAAAGGATTTATAGTGAAAAACTTTGTTTTTACGGGTTTACTTGTTTTTATTTGTCATTGTGGTGGTGATGGTGGTTGATGATGGTGGTTGATGGTGCTGCTGGTATCAGGACGGCCTCGATCCCACGCTGGGCCTCCACCTGGGAGCCTTCCACTCGTTCGAGGCGTCGCTGCTCCAGGAGCAGATCGTCTTCCCGGCCACCGCGACCTCTTCCTCGTCGACGTCGTCGTCGTCGGCGTCGCCGGTGGCGTCGTCGTCGTCGTTAGCGGAGCGTGCGAGCCCGGGGCTCACGCCGCCCCGCCAGCAACACTACCACCACCAGCAACACCACCAACACCAACACCACCAACAACAACATCACAGCCATGAGCACCCCGACACAACACCGCCGCCCACGTTAACGCCACCGCCGCCGCTACCCCACCACCACCACCAACAACACCACCAACATCAACAGCAGCATCATCATCACCACCACCATCAACGGCACACGCCACAACCGCACCCCGGCCCCGCCGAGCAATTCGGAAGCATCATCGCCGCGACCGTCACAGCCACCAGCTCGCCACCGCCGCAACCGCCGCAACCCCTGCAACCGCTGCAACCGCTGCAACCGCTGCAACCGGCGCAACCGGCGCCCTTCTACTACCACCACCACCACCACCACGATGAGGACGACCGCCCCGGCTCGCCGTGCACCTCGTCCGGACGCCGAAGCCCCGGGCACGGCGGCTCCCCGGGGCCGCTGGACGCTGGTCCTCCCCCGGCGTCCCCGACCCCGTACGCCACAGTGTGCTACTACCCGCAGCGGCTGCTGCCCCCCGGCTCACAGCAGCTGCAGCAGCAGCAGCTGCAGCAGCAGCAGCTGTCCGACTCTCAGCTGCGCGGCATCAACGGCGCTGAAGCGTCACAGCGGCACGCGGGTCGAGGTGCGGGGAGAGGATGGTGGAGTGGGGGGCTGGCAACGGGGACCCCCCTTTTCTCGTGTGTGTGTGTTGTGGTGTGACAGCCCCTCTCGTGTGCCGCATGGCTGGCCTTCATAGGCGCTACGTCGCTAACAGCACTTGCCCCAACGGTCTGTTAAGGCTACACGGGGGGTATATACTCTTAGTTTTTTCGGTAAAGTCACGTAGGTGAAAAATGATTTCATTTTTTACCCACGTGACTTTACCGAAAAAACTAAGAGTATGAATCCTTGCAGTCACGAAAGCTTCAAATCTAGAATTTTTATGATTTTTTATTATTTATTTTTATTAATTTTAATTTCATTTTTTACCTACGTGACTTTACCGAAAAACCTAAGAGTATGAATCCTTGCAGTCACGAAAGCTTCAAATCTAGAATTAATACACGTTGGGGTCTTTGTCTTTGTGTGCGTGTCGGTAGAGTAGCGGTCAGTGCTCTGCGCTATCGAACTCGGCGAGCCCCGAGTTCACGGCTACCAACACCAGTGACGATTATTTGAGCCGGTCCTGGGCCTCCTCTAGGTCGGCTCAGCCTCAAATGAGGCTGAGCGGTGTGTAAACATCACCACTGGGGATACAAAGGCGGTCGGGCGTGGCCACCCCACCGCCTCCGTGTGCCGTACCGGCTTTCATGGGTGCTACTCGCTAACAGCACTTGCCCCAACAGTCTGCTGAGGCTATAGCGGGGATCTTTATCTTTGTCTTTTAATGGGGAGCGGTGGCGCAGTGGTTAGCGCGCTGCGCTCCGAGCTCGGCGACCCGAGTTCGAATCCCGCTCACGGCCAACACCGGTGACGACCGTCTGAAATCGGTCCCTGAGCCCTCCCCTAGGTCGACTCAGCTTTAAATGAGTAGCTGGTGCGGTGGTATAAACATCGCCACTGGGGAGACAAAGGCGGCCGGGCGTGCTGCTGGCCACTTACCGTACCGGCCTCCATAGGCGCTGCTATTCGCTCAGTTGACATTTCTCTCCCTAACCTCTCTCCCGCTGACCTCTCCCCGACCTCGCTCCCTAACCTCCTCCTGACCTCTCCCCCCCTGAACACCCCCTAACCTCCCCCTGACCTCTCCCCCCCTGAACACCCCCTAACCTCCCCCTGACCTCTCCCCCATGACCTCCCCCTGACCTCTCCCCCCCTGACCTCCCCCTGACCTCCCCCTGACCTTTCTCTCCCTGACCTCCCCCTGACCTCTCCCCCCTGACCTCTCCCCCCTGACCTCTCTCTCCCCGACCCCCCCCCCCCCCAACAGAGCCGCGTGCCCCGCGTCGCCCCCGTCTCTACGAGTTCCTGCTGGAGGCGCTGTCCGACCCCGCCATGCGCCACGCCGTGCGCTGGGTGAGATGCAGCACAACACCGACACTCACCACTCACCACCACTCACCACCACTCACCACCACCACTCACCACCACTCACCACTCACCACCACTCACCACCACCACTCATCACCACTCACCACCACCACTCACCACCACCACTCACCACCACCACCACTCACCACCACCACTCACCACTCACCACTCACCACTCACCACCACCACTCACCACCACTCACCACCACCACTCACCACCACTCACCACCACCACTCACCCAGCACCTCTCACCACCACCACTCACCACCACCACTCACCACCACCGCTACCACACACCACCACCACTCACCACCACTGACCACCACCACTCACCACCACTCACCACCACCACTCACCACCACTCACCACCACCACTCACCCAGCACCTCTCACCACCACCACTCACCACCACCACTCACCACCACCACTCACCCAGCACCTCTCACCACCACCACTCACCACCACCACTCACCACCACCACTCACCCAGCACCTCTCACCACCACCACTCACCACCACCACTCACCACCACCGCTACCACACACCACCACCACTCACCACCACTGACCACCACCACTCACCACCACTCACCACCACCACTCACCACCACCACTCACCCAGCACCTCTCACCACCACCACTCACCACCACCACTCACCACCACCACTCACCCAGCACCTCTCACCACCACCACTCACCACCACCACTCACCACCACCACTCACCCAGCACCTCTCACCACCACCACTCACCACCACCACTCACCACCACCACTCACCCAGCACCTCTCACCACCACCACTCACCACCACCACTCACCACCACTCACCCAGCACCTCTCACCACCACCACTCACCACCACCACCCACCCAGCACCTCTCACCTCTCACCACTCACCACCACCATTCACCACCACCACTCACCACCACTCACCACCACCACTCACCACCACTCACCACCGCTATCACTCACCACCACTCACCACCACTATTCACCCATCACCACTCACCACTCACCACCACTACTCACCCGTCACAACATTACCACTCACCAACTCACGCGCGCCGTGATCACCGCTCACCACCACCACCACTCACCACCACCACTCACCACCTCTCACCACCACCACTCACCACCACTGAGTAGTCACAACCCGTCACAACATTACCACTCACCAACTCACGCGCGCCGCGATCACCACTCACCACCACCACTCACCACCACCACCTCTCACCACCACCAGGTGAGCATCCACGAGGGAGTGTTCGCCTTCTCGTCGCGGCACAAGGAGGAGTTGGCGCAGGCGTGGGGTCAACGCAAGGGCAACCGCAAGGCGATGACCTACCAGAAGATGGCGCGCGCGCTACGCAACTACAGCAAGACGGGGCGCGTGCGGAAGGTCAAGCGGAAACTCACCTACCAGTTCGGGCCCGAGGCGCTCTGCTAAAGTTGGGGGGCAGCGCTGCCCCCCACCCCCAACAACTGGGAAGGATGGGGGGTCGGGCGGGCAAGTGGTTTTTGTGGTAGGAAGGGCAGCGGTGGGTTGGTGAGCGGGCAGGAGGGTGAGGTGCTGCGATGGGGTTTGGTGGAGAGGGCGGTAATGGGTGGGAGGGAAGGGCAGCGTGGTGGTGGGGGGGGCAGCGTGGTGGTGGGGCAGCGTGGTGGGGGGGGGGCAGCGTGGTGGGGGGAAGGCCAACGTAGTGGAGAGGGCAGTAATGGGTGGGAGGGAAGGGCAGCGTGGTGGGAGGGGGGGGGCAGCGTGGTGGTGGGGCAGCGTGGTGGGGGGGGGGGGGGGCAGCGTGGTGGGGGGAAGGCCAACGTGGTGGAGAGGGCAGTAATGGGTGGGAGGGAAGGGCAACGTGGTGGGGGGGGCAGCGTGGTGGGGGGGAAGGGCATTATGGAAGGGGGGCAGCATGGTGGTGGTGGAGGGGCAGCATGAGAGGGGGGGCGGGGTGGGCGACATGGTGGGGGGTTGGCAGCATTGTTGGTGGGGGGGGGGCAGGTGGGGGGAAGGCAGGTGGGGGGGGCTTCTCTCTCCTGTTCATCGGACACGAGGGTGCCGTCGCCGGTCATCGTCAGGTGGCGCGGTGGGGAGCGAGTCTGTGGGACGTGGCGGGCCCAGCAACACTCCGTGGGATTCCGGCCAGGAGCACCTCGCGTCGTAAACTCTTGTTTCGCTGTTGGTTCTCGCCCTGTGTGTGTGTGTGTTGAACGTCTTTCGCACCGTACGTAGCCGACCGTGCTAATCGAAGCGCCGTGCGACGATGACGACGATGACGATGTCGACGATGATGACGATGGCGATGATGACGACGATGATGACGATGGCGATGATGACGACGATGATGACGATAACGACGATGACAACAATGACGACGATGATGACGATGACGATGGCGATGATGACGATGGCGATGATGACGATGATAATGTCGATGATGACGACAATGACGACGATGACGACGATGATGACGATGACGACAATGACGACGATGGCAACAATGACAACAATGACGACGATGATGACGATGACGACGATGACGACGATGACAACAATGATGACGATGACGACGATGATGATGACGATGACGACGATGATGACGATGACGACGATGACAACAATGACGACGATGACGATGACGACGATGATGACGACGATGACAACAATGACGACGATGACGACGATGACAACAATGACGACAATGATGACGATGACGACGATGACAACAATGATGACGATGACGACGATGACGACGATGACAACAATGACGACGATGATGACGATGACAACAATGACAACAATGACGACGATGACAACAATGACAACAATGATGACGATGACGACGATGACAACAATGACAACAATGACGACGATTATGATGATGACGACGATGATGACGATGACGACAATGACGACGATGATGACAATGACGACGATGACGACGATGATGACGATGATGACAATGACGACGATGACGACGATGATGACGATGACGACGATGATGACGATGACGACAATGACGATGACGACGATGACGATGATGGCAACAATGACAACAATGACGACGATGATGACGATGACGACGATGACAACGATGAGAGACCACCACCGTCTTAGTTCGGTGGCTAAGCCAGAAGCAGCGCTCTCCACCACCATCGCTGCTGCTGCTGCAAGGACAACGGGTGGGGGGGGGGGCGATGTAGTGGATGGAACAACGTGTCTGGGGCCGGCTCTCAGCTGTGGTTTGCTTGGAGCAGGCGCAGTTTGGTCTCTGGTCTTAGCAAGGTCATCTTCTTGGTCGCAACCCAGCCCCCTCCCTCAACCCCCCCCTACCCACCCAGACCCCCCCCGCCCCCCGCTCTATTCGCCGATATATATTCAGAGCTAAGTTATCGACCCTCCTTTAAGTTATAATTCACTCTGTAACAAAAAAAATGTTTTAATCCTGGGTAGTAAGTGATATGTTCTAATTGCTTATGCCTCAAAAGTACAGAACATGGCTATTATTCCCCACAAACGTTGCTGTTGTGACCAGGACAGTGATATGTTGAAATGTAGCTATTTTCAATGAGAAAACGTGGTGTGCATCCGTGTCATTCCTTCACGTAAAGTCCTAGCGACGAAAGCAAAGTTTGTGGGGAACAATAGCCGTTTTTTTATTCTTGGTTCTTTCGGTAAAGTCACGTAGAATGGAAATAATAAAAAGACAGACCTGTTCTCCACCTGAGGACGGCTGCTTGCGTTGTGGCCGAAACGTCATGAGAATTATTTTATTATGTTTTATTTTTATTATTTTATTTTTCCATTCTACGTGACTTTACCGAAAGAACCAAGAAGATGAATCCCTACAGTCACGAAAGCTTTAAATCGAAATTTAATATTCTTGGTTCTTTCGGTAAAGTCACGTAGAAGGGAAATAATACAATTTTGTATTATAAAATAATAATGAAAATATAATAAAATAATAAAATGTTATTATAAAAGAAAAATATTATAAATTAATTAAAAAATTATTATTAAATATAATAATAATAAAATAATAAAATGCTATTATTTCCCTTCTACGTGACTTTACCGAAAGAACCAAGAATATAATTAATCTTGAACAAATTAGCGTAGAAGAGAAATAATAAAAAATAATTATAAAATAATATTTGTTATTATTATAAAATAATAACAAAAGTATTCTAAATATTTGTTTGAGGCATAATCGATTAGAAAATAACCACTTTACTAGCCAGGGACAAAAAAATCGTCTTACATGACAAGTGCAGTGTCGGCGTTCGAGAGCCGACCGCTAGGGAGAGCTCTCCTCCTCCTCTCTCGGCGTTCACGGCGTTTCTTTGTGTCGTGATTTCGCGTGGCCTCTCCGGGGTCAGAGATCGCAAATATTTGTGCTCTCCGAAGTAACTTTTTTCAGAGTTGATTTTTAAAAAAATTGTTGTTTGAAAGGAAATAAAAAAATGTTTTTTTATTTCCTTGTTTGAATGTTGTACACTGTATTAAAGGGTGGAAAAAAATAAAATAGCCGCAATTTATGTGAATGCCGTTCCGTTTGGAGTCTGGAGCAGATTAAGAATGTGCTCGATTAAAATACGATACATACGGCTCGCAGCTGTGCCCGCCTTTTATCAGCATTATGGTCACACTCTGCTAAGTAGCGACGAAGTCGGCACCGCGCCTGTGCCAGGCTGGGTGCACTTTGAGTGCCACGTGAAGTGTCGAAGGCTCGGTGCACTTTGAGAACAACGTGGGGACCCACGCAAAAAGACAAAGATCCCCCATGTAGCCTCAACAGGCTGGTGGGGCAAGTGCTGTTAGCGAGCACCTATGAAGGCCGGCACGGCAAACGAGGGGGTGGGGTGGCCAGCACCACGCCCGGCCGCCTTTGTCTCCCCAATGGCGATGTTTACTACACACCGCACCAGCTACTCATTTGAGGCTGAGTCGACCCAGGGGAGGCCCAGGACCGGTTCAAATAATCGTCATTGGTAGGATCGAACTCTGACCGCTACACTACCGACACAGAACAAATACAAAGATCCCCCGTGTAGCCTTAACAGACCGTTGGGGCAAGTGCTGTTAGCGAAGTAGCGCCTATGAAGGCCGGCACGGCACACGAGAGGGTGTCACACAACAACAACCGCCATTCGCCACTCAGTGGCGGTGACGTCACCACGACGCTTGTGCCAGGCCATGTGCACCTTTGCCCAGATCTTTCAAGGATTTTGGAGCTCCTCACACAATCCAACCTGGTTGAGCCCAGGATGGATCGTAGGCAGGCCAGCCTAAATATTTCTAACCGGCGAAGATGCTCCATTAGGGGGGGTCGACGTTTCGCAAGCGTAGAGAAGGGAGGGAATGACCGTGGCCGAGAAGACCTGAAGCTTCGTGCGGAGCGACAGACCAGGTAGCTTCCACACAGCGTTACACTCAACTATTTATTATCAATCTTGATTTGAAGCTTTCGTGACTGCAGGGATCCATTATCTCTTTGGTTCTTTCAGTAAAGTCACGTGGGTAGAAAATAAAATAGATCACGACGTTTCGGGTGCAACACAGGTGGACGCTTGTGTTTTATTTAATTTTCTACCTACGTGACTTTACTACTCGGCTTCGCCCGGGACTTGGATTCACGACGCCCGGCCGCCTTTGTCTTCCCAGTGGCGATGTTCAAACACCACCCACTTACTCGTTTGAGGCTGAGTCGACCTACGGGAGGCCCAGGACCGGTTCAAATAATCGTCACCGGTGATGGCCGTGAACGGGAATCGAACTCGGGTCGCCGGGTTCGTAGCGCGGCGCGCTACCCACTACACTACAATGCGTTACGCTTCCACGTGCACAGGTCACGTGACAGGTTTGACGTCACAGCTCACTTGCTGTGCAAAAAATATCTGCATAATTGAGCTCCCCCCCCAAAAAAAACCACAAAGTGTATTTTTATAATTGTTGCATGGTGTACAGTCTGGAAAGTAACCCACGTGGCAAATTCCCAGTTTGTTGCATGTCGGGAAGTACGCTAAACATTTTGAACAGACACACATAATCATCACTTTGCCTTATATACATATGGAGATAACATTAACACGGACACTCGACATAAGGTGGTGACCACCGTTCCTACTCTCAACTCACACTCGGGATCATTGCACAGCGAGACCAGGGCAGGGGAACGGCTGCTTGGTCACGAACGACGATCGGAGAATGGAAATAATAAAATAATAATAATAAAAATCTTCTTGGTTCTTTCGGTAAAGTCACGTAGAAGGGAAGTAATAAAATAATACAAATAAAACATAATAAAATAATTCTCACGACGTTTCGGCTACAACGCAAGCAGCCGTCTTCAGGTGAAGAATGAGACACTGCCAAGCTTGGAACTTATATATAAGCTGGGTTGGAAGTGGAAGAAGAGCGCCTTGACAAAAGAATGTGCATATCAAGAAGAATTTAGCATATTCATGGGAAAAGCTTTAAATCGAAATAAAATAAAACATAATAAAATAATTCTCACGACGTTCCGGCCACAACGCAAGCAGCCGTCCTCAGGTGAAGACCATTCA